TTACCCAATGGAATACTACACAGCAGAAAGAAAGAAGGAAGTCCTGCCTTTCCCAACAGCATGGATGGAACTGGAGAGCATTATGCTAAGTGAAGCAAGCCGGGGGGTAAAAGACAAATACCATATGATCTCACCCATAAGTGGAATCTAATCAACAAAACAAACAAGTGAGCAACATAGAACCAGAGGCATGGAAATAAAGAACAAACTGACAGTGACCAGAGGGGCAGGGGGAGGGGGACAACAGGGGAAAGAAGGGGAAGGGGCGAGCCAAGGAACCCTGTGTAAAGGACCCAGCGGTAAAGACAACAGGGGGCAGGATTGAAAGTGAAAGGTGGAGGGTGGGTAGGGCCGGGGAGAGTAATGGTGGGAAATGGGGACAACTGCAATTGAACAACAATAACAAAATTTAAAAAACATTTTATTGAATTTATTGGGGTGACATTGACCAATAAAATCATATAGGTCTCACATACGTAATTCCGTAACACATCATCTGTGCACCACATTGTGCACTCACCACCCAAGGTCAAGTCTCCCTCCATCACCATTTATTCTCCCTTTACCCTCTTCCACCTGCCCCCCAACCACTACCCCCTGCAATCACCACATTGTTATCTGTATACAGGAGTTTGTTTGCCTAATCCCTTTACCTTTTTGAGCCAGCCCTCCAAACCCCCTCCGTTTGGACAGCTATCAGCCTGTTCTCTGTATCTATTAGTCTGTTTCTATTTTGTTTGTTTATTAAATTCCACATAGATGTGAAATCATATGGTGCTTGTCTTTCTCTGATGGGCTTATTTCACTTAGCATAATACTCTCCAGGTCTACCTATGCTGTCACACATGGTAAGATTTCCTTCTGCTTTACAGCCAGGAAGTATTCCATTAGGTAAATGTACTACAGCTTTTTTATCCACTCATTTACTGATGGGCACTTGGGCTGCTTCCAAATCTTGGCTATTGTAATGTTACAATGAACATAGGGGTGCATGTATTCCTTAGAATTAGTGTTTTGGGTTTCTTTGGTTATATTCCCGAAAGTGAAATTGCCAGGTCATAAGGCAGTTCCATTTTTAATTTTCTGAGGAAACTCCATACTGTTTTCTACAGTGGCTGCACCAATCTGCATTCTACCAACAGTGCATGAGGGTTCCCTTTCTCCCACATCCTTGCCTACACTTGTCATTTGTAGATTCATTGATGATAGCCATTCTGACAGGTGTGAGGTGATATCACATTGTTGTTTTAATTTTCATTTCTCTGATTATTATTGGGTATCTTCTCATATGTCTTTGGCCATCTATATGCCCTCTTTGGTGAAGTGTCTATTCAGGTCCTTTGCCCATTTTTAAATCGGATTGTTTATTTTTTGTGTGTGTTGAGTTTTATAACTTCTTTAGAAATTTTTGCTGTTAACGCCTTATCAGATATATCATTGGTGAATATATTCTCTCATTCAGTGGGCTATCTTTTCATTTTGTTGATATAGCTCCATTTTTTTACATTTTCTTTTGTTTCCCTTGCCTGAGGAGATATATCAGGAAAAATATTGCGATGGGAAATGGCCGAGATTTTACTGCCTGTGTTTTCTTCTAGAATTTTTATGGTTTTGAGTCTTGCATTTAAGTCTTTGATCCATTTTGAGTTTATTCTTGTGTATGGTGTAAGAAGGTGATCTAGTTTCATTCTTTTGGACATATCGGTTCAATTTCCCCAACAGCATTTATTGAATAGACTGTCTTTACCCCATTGTATGTTCTTGCTTCCCTTGTCAAATATTAATTAACCATAACGGCATGGGTTTATTTTTAGGACCATTATTCTGTTCCATTAATCCTTGTATCTGTTTTTATGCCAGGTGTCATGCTGTTTTGATTACTATGGCCTTGAACTATAGTTTGCTATCAAGTAATGTGATTCCTCCACCTTTGTTTTTTCAAGATTGCTGTTGCTCTTCGGGGAGTTTTGTGGCTCCCTATAAATTTTTGGATTATTTGTTCTAGTTCTGTGAGACTTCAGCTTTCTTGACCTATTGATTCCCAAATCTGTTCCCCCGTCTCAGATCCTCCTATCCAAATACTCATCAGTCCCTGGCACATGGTAGCCACTTGAACATCTCCACCTGGAGGATCCACACACAGCCCTGGAAACTCAGTCAGTCCTTAATTAAATTCTTCATTCTTTCTCAAGCCCCTCCCAAGACCTGCACTCCTGTGTTCTCTATTTTGGTAAAAAGGCACTCTCATCTTCCTAGTTGAGCCAGAAACCTGAGAGTTACCTTACACTCACTTCTTCTTTGTCTCATTTCTAATCAGGCAGTCATCCAGTGAGCTGATTATACTTCCTTAATATCTATGGAATCGGCTTCCTTTTGTCTAACACTGGCTAACATATCACATCATCTCTTACCTGCATTCCCACATAAATGCATTTTTTTTGGCTGACCTTGCCATTCCTACTGACACCCTCCCCACAACTCCCTTCTGACAAATCCACCTTCCAAGAAGCTGACAGTGATCAGTATAAAACGCCAGTCTAACCTCATTTCTGCTTTGTTCACCTCCTGGCAACCTCACCTCCTGGAATCTCAAGAGCAAGTCCATGGTTTGTCTCTTCGTTCCTTGTGTCTTCACTTGTTATTTATTCCCTATATGTGGAAAGCTTTTCCCCCTCTTTTTGTCTCACAGACTCATTCATGCCCGTCCTTTAGAGTATGTAGGTAACCCCATCTCTGGAAAGCCCATAGCCCTGGGGTTCTCTAAACCCCATCCTCTTAGTCTGAGTGAGGAGCCTTTTCTGAAATCCCTCAGACCACCCTAAGCCTGCCAGTAATCTCAGCACTTACAAAGTCCCTTTCTTCCTCCCTCCCTCCCTCCCTCCCTTCCTTCCTTCTTTCCTTCCTTCTTTCCTTCCTTCCTTCCCTCCTTCCTTCCTTCCTTCCTTCCTTCCGTCTTATTACTTAACTGATTGTCTACTGCAATAGATTGAGCTCCCACAGGTGAGAGTCTGAGTCTTTTATAAGGAGGTTCTGGCTTGACAGAAGGTGTTCAGTAATTTTTTATTGGATAGAAGTTTTTTTGAGAAACAAATTCTAGGAGTGAGGTTTAAATTTAAATGTACAACTCCAGATGTGAAAAATATACACTGTAAATTGCTTCTCCAAAGAGTTGTATTGATTTATACTGCCACTAGCAATGCTACTATTGACTGAGTTGTGTGTTTTCAACAACAGTCTGAATCAGAACTATTTATTATGCCAGAACATTGATATTTCTACTGTAAAAGTGTTTCATCATTTGGAGCAGTGTAGTGCATTAGGACATTCTGCGATGGTCGAGTATTCTGTGCTAGCTGTTAGCTGCATGTGGCACCTGACTGAGCACTGGAAATGTGACTAGTGTGATTAAGACACTGAATTTTTCATTTCCTTTAACTTTAGTTCATTTAAATTTAAATATATAAAGTATCCACATGTGGCATGTGGTGATCGCCTGGGACAGCACAATTCTAGAAAGAAAAAAACAGGAATAATTGGGCAGACGTAATTGCCACATTCTGGATTCCTTTCTTCCTTTTTACATGCCGGTGGTATAATCTCATCACTAAGGTGTGACCAGTTCACAAATGCTGTCATTGTTGTTATTAGTCAGCAACACCTAATTTGGGAAACATTTTTTAAATGGTATTTAGATGAGGAGAGTAACACCCTACATCAGGGATACAACCGAAACGTGTAGTTCCGTCGACCTGAGGAAAACTGGGGAATGTTACTCAAAGTGCCTTTCATTCGGAAGCCTGCACTTAGCTGCTGCAAAGGAGGCCAGCAGCCTGACACCTGCGGAGAGGCATCTGCTGGACTTGTTTTCCCACATAAACTGCCAAACTTGTTTTGATTAGGCAGGAAGTGAAGCAACTTTTCAGGGAGAGAGCCCGACATCTGTGTTCTGTCAGACCTTTTACCTTTTACCTTTTACTTGTGAGCCTCCGCGAAGTTCTGCTTTTCGATTTAAGAGAAGAGCAGGGTGGGCCGCACTTTTTGCTCTTACAACGTGGTTTCCTTAGATTTCAAATCCAAAGTTATATTTTTAATCAGCATACCTGTTTTGATTCTCCAAATAATTTGCATGCCCTTAAATGAAGGCAGCTTTTATTTATCTTGCACAATTCTTTGTACATAGTCTTCTAATACAAATAAGTGTACTGAGCTGAATCAGACGAATCCTGCCATTAAGTATTTGTGACCTACTGGTAGCCTTTTATAAGCGGATGCATGGAGGGGGGTTTCAATCTATTGAAGTTGTGGGGAATGTGTCAAAGAGATAACTAGGTGTATATTTCCTCAAAAATCATGTTATATTATTTAACACCAACATCCTACACGCTTGGAATTCCGGTAATCAGTTGTTGAACAGAGAAATGTGGCTCAAGGTGAATGCTTGTGTATGTGTTGGCTGGCAGGGCAGGCCTCAGGTCTGGACAGAAAACTTTGGAGTTTTTCCAGTTCTTTCTTTCGGAAGAGAAGTGAAGAGGCTCTGCAAACCTCTCCAAAAAGCATTCGTCCAGGATGTCCATCGACCTCAAGGATAGCACGCCTAGACGAGCAGACCACCCCCACCTCACCGGGGCACAGACGACTAGCAGCGCTTCCCGGGGTGCGCGCGCTTGGAGCCGGACCTGCTGGTCCCGGTGCGCGCCGCGGAGCGAACCATCGGGCCGGCCGGGGGTGGGTAATGGTGCGGCCGTCGGGGCAGCCGGACGCTAGGGCCACGCGGTCTCTTTGTGGTCACCGCGGTCTCCTGCCCTCAGCCGGGAGTCGCGCGTGACGCGGCCTGGCGCGGGAGCCTCAGGGGCGCGGCGCCGGTGAGCCTTCCCCCCGGCCGCGCGGGGGTGGTAGCGGCCCATTTGAGAATTTCCCGGGCCGCGCGGCGGGCACGGAGGCGCAGAGCTCTGGCAGGGGGAGGATCTACGCCGCCGCCGCGGGAGGAGGGACAAAGGGGTGGGTCCCCGCGGGCCGGCACCCAGGCAGCAGGTCCCAGGATTGACCCGCAGCGTGGAGAAGGAGGAGGAGCGGGGCCCACGCGGGACCCGCGCCCGAGATGCTAGTGCGAGGAGATCGCGGGTTTCCACCCCGGCGGCAGCTGTCAGGCTGGCACCATGTAAGTGCCCTCTTGCGTTAATTGGTTAGGAAAAGGGTCGCCAAGAATGAGCCCGGGAGGGCTTGTTGGGCTTCCCTGATGTGCTGTATGTAGCTGGGATTCTCCCACCCGGAGAGGAGAGGCTGAGGGTAGGTGGTAAGGCTGGCCTCCGGGGGCTCCTGGATAGTCATTCTCATTCTCTCTCTCTTCCCCCCTCCTCCTCTCCCTCAACTCACTTGGGTTTCGGATTAAGTCACGAGTAGGGGAAACTGTCTTGAACTCTCCTGGATCCCTGCTACCTTGGAGGCAGGCATCTCTTCAGCCTGTCGTATCGCCTTGTTGTGTGCCTTTGTGTAGTCCTTCTGTTTCAAACCACACTATACTTTATCAAAGTTACAGGCGTGTGTGCTTGAGACAAATTGACAGCTCTTTAGAAACTAGGATCTGCATTTCCCCCTTTAAATCAGCTGCCTCTGCAATATAAGTAAAAGTCGTTTTCGATGGGGAATGGAGATGGAGTTTTGGAAGAAACCACAAAAAAAGAGTAATGAATACTTTCTACTCTGGCATTATCTTACCTGTCATTTAGTTCCTTTTCTTTTATGTCTTCATTTGTCAAGCTTCTGCTTTTACACAGTAGTTTAAATTATAAATAATCAGAGTTTTGACTACAGGGTGTTAACATTCTCGAAGTGTGGACAAACTTGAGAGTGAATACTCCAGAGCTTAGTAATGGAATACAGCCTCCCACCTCTATTTTCACTTCAGTTCAAAGGCAGCGCTGCTTCCCTGGCAGCTGTCTGCCCCGGGTAATGGCTGTGGTTTCCCTGCAGTTCTCAGCAGAGACTCTTCCCACTAAAGAAACTGCCCTGCGATCACACACTCCCTTTTGCGCGCCCCGGGGAGTTTTAGCAGGGAGGGGAAGAGGCCCTCGTCTGCAGGGCGGTAGGTGGTCTGGGCTGGGTGCCCTGACAGTCACTTTGCAGTACAGGTCTGTCTGTCTCAGAATCACCCCCGGGAGAGACAGTCGGTGGGTAACGTCTACGAACACACCTGGGAAGGCGACATTTTAAGGAAGAAATTAGTAGGAGTAATTGCATCTGCAGCCAAGTGCCGTCTAATGTCCCGCCTAAGAGGATGAAATTTGATTATTCAGTAAGTTGTCACGAACAACTTCACTTCAGTTGGGGGGACTACAAATGATAAGAGGGTGCTTCTGCCACAGTCTTGTTGGTGAAGCATGCAAATAATTAAGGCTGATGAGTTCCAATTAAAAGTATGGACAGGATGCTGTAGCTTTCCCTCTTGGGGAAGATGAGAGATGGTTGCTTTACTAAGACAACAGTGGCTTTTGACGCATTTCTTGAGTTTTTTCAGAGCAGCTGCTAGAGATTGATGAAGGGGAATTTTCTTCCTTGAAATACTGCCTGCAACTTGTTTTCAAGACTGGGCAGCTAATAACTTCTAATAATCTAAATAAGCACCAACTGTGCTCAGCACTGTGAGGGGGTTGCTCGATGAGTGATACTCAATTTCTGCCTTGAAGAGTCTGTTAGACCTGAAAATTGAGGACTGTATTTTAGACTCTGCAACCTGCTCTGCTGGAATGCCTGTGACTGAGAGAGGGAGTGTGCGGCATACACGTCCTGTACGCACTCCCCAGGAACCTTGCCGGGAAGAAAAGGTGACATTTGAACAGATACCCTACAGTGTAAGCCACTATAAAAAATGGGGCTACTAGTGCCCCACCTCACAGGGTTGAGTGTGGACTGAATGAAATCATGTAGGGTGCCTGGCCTGTGGTGGGCGCTAAGTAAACGGTGGCTGGGAAGATGAACCAAAAAGAGCGCTGAAACTATGTAAGTGTTGGGTCCTGGGCTGATAGGGGACGTGGGATCTAGAAGTACACATAGAAGATGCCACAGGGGTATCCAGGGTAAAGAGGAAGAGTTACTCCTACTCTCTTGAAAGGCCTCGAATGCCAGTAAGAGAACTTTAGGGAATAAAAGAGAGTCATAGAAATCCCTGTTGTGTTAATGACCTACCAGTTCCTTGTGAACACTCCACCCCGCCTCCGACACAGGGAATATTACTATTTTTGAGGCACTCATATGCTTAAGACCAATGGATTTTTACATCACTCCCTGGGGAATTCCATTTGCTAGGCCCTCTGCCTATATTTGTTTAACTTTTAATCTAGTTTTTTTGTACATTGACAAAAGGTCACAGGCTAGCCATTTATCTTCTGCAGAAGTGCCTGGGAATGCGAAGGAGATGACAGACTTCCTCCAATGACTTCTGAGTTTGCAAAGGTTTTCTCTCCTGAAGATTTTCTCAGTAGGATGCAGAGACGTTCTTGAAACTAGGGTGGGGCCCCTTCAGTCCTGTTTGCCGGGAGTTTAAAAAGTCCTGCAGATTTGGTTTGGGAGTGGCCTGAGGTGTGGGCGTGCCTGGGGTGGGGTGAAGAGGTAGGAAGGGTTAGTAATCACCGCTGAAACTTTCAACATACTTCCACCAAGAATGTGAGCGGTCAGAATTTTTTTTGCCTAATCCCTAAAAGAATTTCCAGTAAGTAGTTGTGGCCCCAGATTAATTTATGTCGGTTGAGAGCTGACTTCCTATAAAATGCCTTATTGATTAATTAGACCCTAAGCAGTCATCAGGGGGCCAGAAACTGCTGGTCAGAAAGGCCATGCTTTGACTGGCCAGCCTTGGTTTTGAGGGGCATTTTCCCTAGAAAATTGGGTAGGTGGGTCAGAATGGTTATCCCTCTTGATCCTAAATCCAAAGGTACATATGGGTCAGAAACAAAGACTCAGAGGCCCCATTTAACACCCATTTGTGGGTTAAAAACTTCAACATTTATCTGAACTTTAATGAGGTTAAAAAAGAAATCTTCCCTAAAGCTACTTAGGACCTACTTCAGCCCTACAAGAATTTTATGATAATCCTTGTTAGTAGATGCCTATAGAGCTAGCACATTTATAAGGATCTGAGGTGGTATTCTCATTAAACATTTTTAAAAGACCATGTAACAGCAATGGAAAAAAGTTACTAGGTACTCGGTCCTAACATCCAGTACTGACAATAGCTAGTTCCAGTTGTGTGTTTTTTTTTTTAATTTTCCTCATCTGAGGCCTTTTTTTTTTTTTTTTTTAATTGCTTTTAGGGAGAGAGACAGGGAGAGAAACATCCATACTAGAGAAACATCAATTGGCTGCCCCCTCCACAGGCTTTTGCCCCAACCAGGGATGGAACCCACAACCCAGGCATACACCCCAACCTGGAATTGAACCCATAATCCTTTGATTGTGGGATGATGCTCCAACCAACTGAGCCACACTGGCCAGGGCTAATTCCAGTTTTGAAGGTTACCTGGGAAAGCAGTGATAAAGCTCGTTTGCTGCCTACGTTATTGCGGGAGAGGCAGAGTTCTGAGTTAGAAAGTGCCTGCTCCCGCCTTCTTTACTTAATTAGGGAATGCTCTTCTCAGAATAGAACTCGGTGACTGACCTGCAGTGACCTTCCAGTGAAGGCCCCGGTTTCCTTTTGGGTTTTAAGTAACCTGTGCCTCCCATCATGCATCCAGCCATTGCATCCAAAGCTTCATCAGCCTCGATAACCTGAGACCTCAGGAGAGAGACTAAGGACGGTCATGTTGAAAAAATACCCAACAAATTTTAAAAAGATTTTATGAGAGAAGAGAAAGGAGGGAGAAACAGAGAGAAGCATTGATTGCTTGTCTCCTGCATGCCCCTAACCAGAGACCTGGCTCTGACTGGGAATTGAACTCGTGACCTTTCACTTTGCAGGGCAATATGTAAGAATTTGATTTAAGCATGTTCTCTGCCTCTTTTGCTGACCCCCAAATGGTTTTCCGAAGTGTGCTGTACAGACAGACTTTCAGGTGGTACAGAGAAGGACATATCCCATTTTTCAATTACTGGGCGTGAATATTGTGCTTTAAGAATAAAGCGAGACACCTAACTCCTTTATTTCATGGATAGATTACTTAGAATGAGGCAAAAATAAATATTAAGTAAAACAGTTCAATTTTTTAAACAACAGTAAATTATTAGGATGAGTGGTATGACAATAGGTTAAAAATTGTGAAGGTAGCCCTTTAAATATGAGACTTGGGAAATACTGATTAAAATATAAGGTGACATTTAGTTATGGAGAGCTAAGTATACCTCCATCTCACCATTAGGAAAGTTGGACACAGACTGGCCCAGAAAGCCAGAACAGTTGAATTTGAAGGACTTTATGCCTTAACATACATCTTGCTCTTGTCCACTGAGCTTTCTTACTGGTACTGCAGATTTCGTGCAGCTATTTAATGCCTAATTCTCATTCCTTTCTCTGCTTCCCTCAAGCCACTGAGCAAGGTTGGACGTGCGTTGGTATGACATTTGTGGGATAGGGCGAAAAGGGCATTGCTGACGGACATCGCTCTGTTATCAGGGGCATCTTGCTCGCCATCTGTCAGTGCTCAAGAATGGAGAGAACCGGACAGCCTCATGTGTACATGTATTTCACTTCAGAAGTGTAGCTTACGTCGATCTGTGAAGTGGGCTTTGCTCAGGATTCTCATAGGAATTAGAAGTCTTGAGATAGGAAAAATGTAACCCTGCCTTGACCTAGAAAAATGAGCGATGTGAAGTTCACCTATGTAAATAAAACTAGAATAGAAATACTTTGTTTTTGTCACCCAACTCCCTGATTGTGTTTGGGCATGAACATCATTTTAGAGAAATCATAAGCCTTCAATTAGTAACTTGTTCTTGAGTCGTTTTAAATCAGTACAGATATTTGTTTAATGCCTCTGCCGGATGGTTAAAGTTAAATCAGGTCTTTAATCTTAAAAACGTAATGAAACTGGCCTTCATCACTCACACAGCATTGTAAGTTGTAGACCATAGCAAGATATATTCACTTTCAGACTAATATTTAGCCTAATTATAATTTTCATGGAGCATAGTTTCTATTTATGTTTCTTTCCCTTCCAACACTGTATGTAT